ACACAGCCAAAGCCAAGCCAGATGTAAAGAAAAGGGGTCGAGAACCTAAGGCAAAGCAGCCTACCAGCAAGAAAGCCAAGAAGGAAGCAGAGGAAGATCAGCAGGAGGAAGCTGACGACAGCAACACAGTGCCTGCCAAGCCTGCTGTGGCTCGTCCCAAGCGCAAGCCACCAGCCGCAAAGCAGACAAAGGAGCAGAAGCCAAGTAAGGGATCCAAGGGTTCAAAAGCTGACAAGAGTGAGGAAAGCCCCAAAGGGGAGGAAGAGATCCACACCGAGAAAGAACCGTCGAAGACGGATGATAGTCAGGAAGCTGCTGAGATTAGCAAAGAGACCAAGCAGGAAAAGAACACCAAGAAGGGTAAGGCCAAAAAGGCTGAGAAAGCAAAGGATGACCAAGAAGAGGAGAAGAAGGCTTGGAACATGTTGCTTCCTTTCTTCTCTCTTGCAATTTATTTGTTTCAAGAAAACATTCCACTGCCAGGAGCCAAAGAAGAGCGGGGCTCTTGGACGTGTGGGGATGAGGGATGTGTATTGGAAGCACATCGCGGAGTCCAAAAAAAGGTTGACGGATGAAAATCCCACCAAGAGCAAGTATGAGATCTTGGGTATGGCCCGGGCCGAGTCCGGCACTGAGATTCAACATCAAAGGATTTCATTAGTCATGAGAACCGTCATCATTATTTGTTAGAGGATTTGACTCGTTGAAGTCCAACTTTTCCACCAATGGTGCATTTGCTAGCAACAATTTCTAATTGTCAACCCCGTGAACTGCAGGTGGCAGACCCACCCGGAGCGTGTGAACAACATGAAGAATTTGCCACCTTCGGAGCTGTCCCGCCGACGTTTGGTTCCGTCCAAGCGACAGCGCAAGGTGCCCAAAGATGAAGAAATTGCCGAGGACGCCGAGGGTCCTGCCGACGAAGGACATATCGCTTCTGATGCTCTCAATGACTTCCCCCCCCAGAAAGTGGATGATGACGTCACTGATGGTGAACCTGCTGAGTCTGAGTGACTTCTAAGTTTTTGAGAAATGGGTAATGGGTCCACAGTGATCCTATAATCTTGGGTGTCGCAACCTTTGATGTCCAACAGAATGTTTTCAAATTTCCATCAAAATAAGCTATATAAAGGCACGAGCTTGCTGTTTCAGGGCAGGTTGCGGATGGCAATGGCGCTGACTTTGGGAAGCGCTACCAAATCTCACTTTAGATCTTACGGTATTTACCAGGGAAATCCTTGAGGAAAGCTTCACCACTTGACACACCAGTGGTTCGCTCAAGAAAGGGGAAAAAACAAACTTGCAGCTTCACTGCGCTGTTCCATTCTTTTCTGAGAACCCCTATTGTTTGATAAGAAGTGCAAGAAGTGTTGTAAACCACGGGTCCGCATGGCAGGTGAGATGTCCCGGATTTGGCCTGTGGCATGGACCACGGACCAGCAGGAAGTTGTCCTCGAAGTTCCTGACGAATCGGGGAAAGGGAGCACGGACAGTGAGAAGACCACACTCCGACAACTTCTACAGGAACTTGAGGATGCTGGGATCACGGATACAACGTTGAACTCCCATGACATGCATGCCCCGCATGCTGCTGAAGTTGGCCAAGGTAAGGGGCCCAACAATCCATTGGATGTTTAATCTCTTAATCAATGGTGTCAGTAACTGAACATTTCTCAGTGGCATGAGTGTATGGCTCTCTCCCCTATTTAGGTCCTCAGCCATACCTTGTCAAACCAAAGCCGACCATGATGTATTTCGGCTTCACAGAGTGCACCAGCAACTACAAGTACACGAATGCAGCTTCCATCTTCACAGCCGCCGCCCCTCGGACGGTCCTCAATTGTGCACCTGCTAATTGAAGACCGTGTGGTCTATCCATGGCTCAATCGAAAGTGGGTCACAGTAGTTTTTTTTGTGGAAATGTGACTAAGGAACTTGATGCCTCCAAATCCCTCTTGAAGGCTTGGCGTGTGATCTACACCAAAGAGAGCAATGTCGCTTGGAGGTACATTATCCAGGATTCTGATTTGAAAAAATGTTGCAATATTTCTGTTGCAATAACACTGACTATTTGTTATCAGTGGTGTGCCGCCATTGGCTAAGGAAATCTCGCCTCGTTGCTCGGTATCAAATAAGAATGACCCATTCAATACTGTATCATTCAAAGATGGATTGAATGGCATTTCAAATTCCAACTATATTTGAAGGATTTTGTACTCTTAGGCAAACCGCTCTACTTCTTCAAAGATGACTTGGAGATGGATGCAGGGCATGTTGTCAGATTGGTCTGAGCGCCAAATCAAATTTTGAATGGCCACCGTTTGCAATTTTGAACCATAATAGTGTTAAAAAAAAAAAGTATTTTCCCATAAATGTTGTATCAATGAAACTGAAACTTCGAGCGACAAGCACAGGTGACCAGGACCTAGCGCTGGGATGACATGAAATCATCTTGGGAAAACGGGCGGCCGCGAGCGAACTCTTGCAGTCTTGACCCCTGCAACATCATATATTTCATACACCTCGCTTACTCATTGACTCTCGAATAGGAAGAAATTACTCTTGATTGTAGTGAAATCCCCTTATATGTATATATACCTAGAGACTCCTGGAGTCTTTTGCTTGGTCCTTTTTGAAAAGGACGTTTTTTTGTCTTTGCTGCAGAAAGGTGCTGGTTCTCGCCGCAGTGTTTTTTTCGAAGTTGCTGCATAGTTGTGTTTTCGCAGCGCTGTCCATGGATTTTTGTTGCGACGGGTCTGCGCTAACGCTGTCTGTCAGCTCCTCTGTGCTCTCAGAACTCTTGGGAAAGTGCCTTGGTTGCGACGGGTACCCACGCAATACACAAGATATGAATGCCATGGTCATAACTTTTGCACACCATGCTTGTGTGCTGCGTACTCATACAAGTCTGTGTGTTGTTTGATCCTTGGCTTTTACCTGTTTGGATCTACCTTCTTCGATTTAGGATTCTTGCTTTGGTGAACCACACCTGTGTCTGGAAAGTACTCGTAACTTCTTATGCTAGGTTTGGCCACAGATAGGGTGCTTTCTGTTTCTTTCGCTCTCGCCATCAAGGGTTGTGGTTGAGGAGGCATGTCATTGGTTTATGGTTTTGTCTTCATTGTGTTTGCCGTTGCGTTCACACGCTTCGTCCTGCTGAGGCGCATTCTTCCTGATTCATCTCGTGGACGGTGCCTGGTTTCCGACGGGTTTGCAATTGACATGTATTCACTTGTTCGTGTCTCTTTTGGTAGACCTGTAGGTCTTGCTGCAAATGGGTGAAGCTGTTCTGTCAGATGTCGCCCTCAAAGAAATGGGTTCCATTAAACATACCGTCGCGGTCTTGTTGCGCTATTTTTTTTTGGACCTGGTGTGATCACGATTCAGACCCCGGACCCGAGAACCCACTCCAGCTTCATCTCTATTAACTGTATTCGGTCTCTCCTTCTCACACGTCTTGTTTGTGGGACTTAACTGTGATCTTTCCCATTTCCAAGCATGTCGCTCTGCGAGGCCATTGCCGCAGGATGACTGCAAGAAGGGGACGACATCGCGAAGCCTTGTTTCAAAAGGGTGCTTTGGATTGTGTGTGAGATCAGAAGTAACGGTTTCATGTGTACCTGATTGTTGTCAATATTTTCGTTCTGGAAGATAGTCTTCTGATTTCTTTTTTGGCTTTTCTCAGTTTATGTGGCCTGTTGCCATGACCGGAAACGTTGGACTTATTTCTCCACCTGCCAGGTGAGGGTTACTAGATTTTACCATGGCTGCGCGGGGGGGACGGAGGGGGGGTGGAAAACCTCCCGCTGCCTCCCATCTGCCAACTCAAGATCCCAGTGGGCACTGCCAGACCTCAACGGCGAGCTCCCGATCCCAGTGAGAAACGCCGGGCTCAACCGCGAGCTCCTGATCCCAATGGGCAACGCCGGACCTCAATAGCGAGGTCCGGATCCCAGTGGGCACTGCCGGACCTCAACGGCGAGCTCCAGATCCCAGTGGGCAACGCCGGACCACAACGGCGAGCTCCAGATCCCAGTGGGCAACGCCGGACCTCAACCGCGAGCTCCAGATCCCAGTGGGCACTGCCGGACCTCAACAGCGAGCTCCCGATCCCAGTCAACAACGCCGGACCTCAACCGCGAGCTCTCGATCTCAGTGGGCACTACCCGGCCTGAACGGCGAGCTCCACATCCCAGTCGGCACTGCCGGATCTCAAGGCCAGATAGAATGTCAGATAGAATGTCAGATAGAATGCAAGATAGAATGCAAGATAGAATGCCAGATAGAATGCCAGAAAGAATGCCAGAAAGAATGCCAGATAGAATTCCAAATAGAATGTCAGATAGAATGCCAGATAGATTTCCAGATAGAATACCAGATAGTATGCCAGAAAGAATGCCAGATAGAATGCCAGATAGAATGTCAGATAGAATGCCAGAAAGAATGCCAGATAGAATGGCAGAAAGAATGTCAGAAAGAATGCCAGATAGAATGCCAGACTGCATGCCAGATAGAATGCCAGATAGAATGCCAGATAGAATGTCAGATAGAATGCCAGAAAGAACGCCAGATAGAATGCCAGAAAGCATGTCAGATAGAATGTCAGAACATATGTCAGATAGAATGGCAGAGCATATGTCAGAGAAAATGCCAGATAGAATGCCAAGAGGAAGAGGAGGAGAGGGCAACTCTCATGAAATCTAGAGACCGAAGGTCTCTAGATTTCATCAGAGTTGTCCTCTCCTCCTCTTCCCTGCCAGAAAGTTTTGCCAGAAAGAATGTCAAAATCTGTATGACATTCATGGTGGGGATCACTCGAAGAAAGGTCACCAATGATGAATCTTCGATTTAGGATTCTTGCTTTGGTGAACCACACCTGTGTCTGGAAAGTACTCGTAACTTCTTATGCTAGGTTTGGCCACAGATAGGGTGCTTTCTGTTTCTTTCGCTCTCGCCATCAAGGGTTGTGGTTGAGGAGGCATGTCATTGGTTTATGGTTTTGTCTTCATTGTGTTTGCCGTTGCATTCACACGCTTCGTCCTGCTGAGGCGCATTCTTCCTGATTCATCTCGTGGACGGTGCCTGGTTTCCGACGGGTTTGCAATTGACATGTATTCACTTGTTCGTGTCTCTTTTGGTAGACCTGTAGGTCTTGCTGCAAATGGGTGAAGCTGTTCTGTCAGATGTCGCCCTCAAAGAAATGGGTTCCATTAAACATACCGTCGCGGTCTTGTTGCGCTATTTTTTTTTGGACCTGGTGTGATCACGATTCAGACCCCGGACCCGAGAACCCACTCCAGCTTCATCTCTATTAACTGTATTCGGTCTCTCCTTCTCACACGTCTTGTTTGTGGGACTTAACTGTGATCTTTCCCATTTCCAAGCATGTCGCTCTGCGAGGCCATTGCCGCAGGATGACTGCAAGAAGGGGACGACATCGCGAAGCCTTGTTTCAAAAGGGTGCTTTGGATTGTGTGTGAGATCAGAAGTAACGGTTTCATGTGTACCTGATTGTTGTCAATATTTTCGTTCTGGAAGATAGTCTTCTGATTTCTTTTTTGGCTTTTCTCAGTTTATGTGGCCTGTTGCCATGACCGGAAACGTTGGACTTATTTCTCCACCTGCCAGGTGAGGGTTACTAGATTTTACCATGGCTGCGCGGGGGGGACGGAGGGGGGTGGGCACTGCCGGACCTCAACGGCGAGCTCCAGATCCCAGTGGGCAACGCCGGACCACAACGGCGAGCTCCAGATCCCAGTGGGCAACGCCGGACCTCAACCGCGAGCTCCAGATCCCAGTCGGCACTGCCGGACCTCAACAGCGAGCTCCCGATCCCAGTCAACAACGCCGGACCTCAACCGCGAGCTCTCGATCTCAGTGGGCACTACCCGGCCTGAACGGCGAGCTCCACATCCCAGTCGGCACTGCCGGATCTCAAGGCCAGATAGAATGTCAGATAGAATGTCAGATAGAATGCAAGATAGAATGCAAGATAGAATGCCAGATAGAATGCC